CGTTTGCTGAACCTCAATGTGACACCCAAATGCTGTTCCTTAAAGCCAGGGCAGTCTCTAGGAAGCCATGAGCTGCCCCAGCTCTATGTAAGGTTATGATCCTGGGATAAGTGCTTCCATGAGTTCCAGAGCTCAGTGAAGTCATTTGCTGGTTGCCATATATAGAGAGACACTAAGATCAAAGGATATAGAATGAGGTTGGTAATTAGCATCCACTTGCACTGCCTATCAAAACATAGATTTGTCTCAAAGAGTAGAGTTGTTTGATCACTTACTTGCCTGAGAACTATAAGAATCCCAGTCCTTTGATCAGAAATCCTCCTCCCTAATCCTAGTGATGTGACTGATCTCCAGCACTGGATGCTAGGAATACAGCAAGCTATCTGATTTTCAAGTCAAATCAATAACTTGCTAGAGAAAAGCAAATCCTGAGTATTTAGTGCACCCACTTTGGAAGTTTACCAAAACAATGGCTTTGCATTGTGAGATTTTAAAAAAAAATCTTGAAAGAATATGTAGGAATGTGATAGAATGTATTATTCTTCATAATAAATGTTGCCATTGGGGCTGACACAGGAGTTAGCAAGAAGCAGGAAAGGCTTGTAGTAGAATCTAGACCATCTATTGTCATACTGTCCGAGAGCCACTTTAAAACTAGAAAAGCCAAGGCTAGCTGAGGTGGCACATGCCATCATTCCCAGTACTCTGGACAAGGAGGCAAGTAGATCTCCACAACTTTGAGGCTGTCCTCTTCTACTTATCAAGTTCTAGGCTAGCAAGGTCTACACAGTGAGACCATTAAAAAAAATCATGAAAAACCAGTATAAAGAACAGTCTGCCAAGCTAAAGTAAAAACTATTGGGCTTCATGGTCATATCCTCACCCAGCTATTAATGACTGTTACCCTATTAGAGTTAGCCTTAAAACAGGAAATACTACTAAATATTTGGGCTTATGCATGATTTTAAATGCATCTTAAAATGTAATATCACAACATATTTGATATCTTTGTATTCTCTTCTTACTTGGTAATATACCTTCAGCAGTGAGTCTGTGGGCCATGTGTCTTGTTTGTTCAAGTTTGACCATCCTGCTTTACCACAGCATCACACACACACACACACACACACACACACACACACACACACACATGCTCGTATGTATACACAGGTGCAAACACACACTTGCGCACACACCTATACACATACATACATAAAGCACACATCTACACATGTACACACACATACACACCTATATACACACAGGCACACACACAGATATATATATATATATATATATATATATATATATATATACACACACACACACACACACACACAGATATGCACAAACACACATACACACACACACACACACACACACACTTTAGTCCCACATTTAACCCTCTACTATCAGTCTCTGTAACAATGGAATTTTCTCTTCCTGAATTTGAATAAAAAAAAAAATCAGAGGTTTGACAACTATCATTTCATGTCTATTTAAGAACCCCACTCAGAACTTTGACCTATGGAGAGTTGATAGGTATCAACTTTCCATTTGGTAGAGACTGTCCTCCCTGTTTTCCTGTTTTCTCTTTTCATCCCATCTTTGGCTGTTTCTGCAGTGTCCTCTGTGGCTAAGCTGACACCGTGGACCTTAAAAGAAGAAAAAGGACACTGAACCAAAGTACTATGAGATTATGGAAGCCATTCTAAACACAATGAACAAAATAGCACATTTATGCCACCATCCTGCACCACTCACCACAGGAGCCTCAAGGGATAGTTATGGCATGACACTATCTGCTAAAGGAAAGAAATCAAAACTGTCTCCCAGAGACAACTCAGGGAAGGGGTGGGGCCTGCGCAAGCACTTTTCTGTCATGTCTGTAGCCTTCCCTACAGCAATTGCTTGGATTTCTTAGGCAATCAAATTTTGTTTCCTTCTTTGAATTATGAAATTCATTTTTATTTCAGAAGACACTCCAAAGTTTAAAGAAAAAAGGCATGGTTCATTACTAACTCTTTCTGTCAAAGAAATAACTTTTAACATTTTGTATAGAATCCCTCAGATTTTGCCCCCAAATCCTTCACACATAATTGTAAAAGACAAGTCATTTTGTCCTAAAGATCTTTGCCCCTGTCTCCTGCCCCCCACCCCACTTTCTGTTTCTCTCTGCCATCTGTGTTTTTGCCTTTGCAATATCTTGCTTATTTTTTTCTTGAATTGTAAACAATGTTATATAAAGGAAGGCTGGGGGCACTTGATGCTCCTCACAATGTTTCCTCGCGCAGCCTTCAGCCTTTCAGCAGCCTTCTCACTCCCCCTTCACATCTCAGCTTCCCTAAGGGATGAATGAATCTCCCACCAGCACTCTCCATGGCCTGTGGGCCCCATCATTGCATATGGGTTCCATCTTTGCTTCTCTTCTTGTTCATTGGTAACTTCTGACACCTCACTCAAGGAAAGGTTGCAGTTCATACCCTCACCTTCTTAGCACTTGGTGCTCTCCCCTAATTCTACCTCTCACCATTTAATGAGCCCTCTACTTTTGCTTATTTCTAAAGCAGAGCTGTCCTCTAGGCTTCTGAGTTGAGTTATTTCTTCTGTCTCATGAGCTCATCCACCCCTGCCATTTTCTTATTTACCCACCTGTATATGTAGCCCTGTCTCTTCTTAGGTATGGATGCCCATGTCCAAATGGTCAACTAGGTGCTTTGACTGGGCAGAACTTTCGAAAGACACCACAAGCCCACCAGAAACCTTGTGTGTGTACTGTCTTCCTTACTCTTTCTGGTTGTTAGTCAGTCTCTGATTGTGGGGGATGTAGAAGGATGGGGAGTGAGTGAGTGTGGACCATTCCTTCTAGTTTAACAGTGAAGGAGAAAAATGGATGTAAGAAAACCACTTTCCAAGTAAGAGAAAACCTAATTCTGTGGGCAGTTGGGAGAATGGTTGTAGAGAAGAGATTAAAGATAGGGGACACTGGAAAACAGGAATTTAATCCCAGACAATTCTGAGGCTGAGAGTAAAGTGGGAATAATGGGAAAATCTTAACTCTCTGCCACTATATTGTTAATTCTCTGTATGACTCTTATTTTGATGAATCCATGCCTATTATATATCATGAAGTAGTAACTAAATAATCATAAACCATTTTAAAATTCGTACATGAAATATTTAACCTTTACATTCATTTTGACATCTATAGGTAAGCAAACACTACAACTGGGGACAATTTATCCTATTAGATAGACCAAGCATCATTCCTTTTCCTTTTCAAAACTTCCTATGTGAGTCCCATTCCTCATGAGTATAAAGAATACTTTTAATTCAATCCACAAAGAACTAAACTCCTTTTGAATGTTTTTGTAGTACTAGATGGGGGGTTGAATCCAGGGCATCACATATACTCTGTAAGTGTTCTATCATCAAGCTCCATCCCCAGCCCAAAGACTTACTATTGTCATTATTTTTATTACTACTAGTATTACTATTTCATATTCTGAAACAAGTTCCTTCACTTGTGGACTCTCTATGGCATCAGCTTCTATTGATATTGTTGTAGTGCTGCCCAGTCTTTTCCCTGTGGAATAATTTCCCATTATAATTGTCATACAACTTCCCAAGTGAAGACATCTATTTCTCAATTCTACTTCTGAGGAAGGAAGGGAGGGAGCATGGGGGGACAGAGAGGCTGTGCATAGGGATGAAGAGAGGCTAGAAGTCTGAGTAGGCAGAGCTGGGTTGTCAGGTAGGCCCCTGGTACTTAAGGAACCACAGATATGATCCGTTTGGATAGCATCCTGAAAAGTACCAGCATGAACAAAGAACCAGGCAATCTTGTTTCAGGCTAGTAAAATAGAATTCAGAATGATGTCACTCGGAATGGTGGGGGAAGATAAGAGACACTGGAGTTTCAGACATGACAGCCAGCCTGGGCTCAATGCTTCTCACAGGAGAGAGACCCTGTCAGCAAACTGGAATTCACATTTCGCCTCTTATTTCTCTGCCTTGAGTCCTTTCACCCTTTTAGCTGCCTGGCACTAAGGCTTCTTCCTCAGATGCACTTACTAAGAATGCACAGAAGTGACCACAAGCAGCTGGCTTGAGAAGGGAAGGCTGTGAGGGGCTCATTTCTCTGCCTCAGTTGAAACCCTCAGCATCTTGCCAGAGCTGGGGGTGGAGCACAGGAAGCTATTACCCTGTGGCTTCTCCTCCCACGCAAGCCCCGCCCCTTCACACTTGGACAGTGGGCAGATTAGCTTTCTTCCTCCTCCTAGTTCACTCCTCTGGCTGATGTGCAAGGTCTTGCAGAAGCCAGGGACTTGTTTTCTGGGCTTGGCAAAAGTACATAGGAAGAAGCCAGGGCTTCCCGGCTGGGAGGAGGGAGGAGAGCTGAAGATCCCCGCCATTGGCTCAGCTAAGCAAAGTGGGCAGCTCAGTGCTTGAAAGAGGATTGTGCTCGCACTAGATATCAGTAAGTGGGTTACCGTGTGAGTGCCCCTGGGTCATGGGGTAGACTTGAAAATGATGCTTGATTCTAGGGGAAAGCTGCAAGGCTGCTTGCTGTCTCTGTGTGCTTTCTGTGTTGAGTGCAGACTAGAGGCTTAAGCACAAGAATAACTCCAATACCCCCCTCCCCATCTTGGAAAATGGCAACTTTAACTTGAGAGTAGTTATGGCCGTACTCTCATTCCTGAACCCTCTTCGTAGGAATGTGGGCTACTAAATCAGACAGAGTTGGGAGTAGGTGGGAAAAGTGAAACGTAATGTTGACAGAAATTGCAGTCTCTATATTCTGTATGTGCTGGCATTGTTATATCTTTCAGCAGAAATTGTCAGCAAAGTCTGAGAAACGGGCTTACAGTGGGGAAATTTAGAGTTTCTATGATAAAGAGGCTGAGTAATCCATATGTAAGGGATTAAATACAAAATTTATGTAATAAATAATAGATGGGTTTTTAAAAATCATTAAAGGGGAGCAGCATCCAGGAAGCGTAAAAGTGCTTGTTAAAAATTAGGAAAAGAACATTTCACATCCATGGCTTTTTGCAGTAGGCAAAATTGCAGGATGTTTTCAAAGTCAGGACAGTGATGCAGGAATACTTCAATTATTGTTGTACATTATTAATACTGTTGCCGGGCAAGATCTGTGGTTCTCTGGTCAGCAAGTTCTGGCAATGAAGCCACTGGCGCTGATGCAAAGACTTCTGGGATGCCTGACAGTGAAATGGATGGAAGGACTCACATTCCATCTCTACTTAATGTCCTTTTGTCCAGAAATCGGGTCATGCAGATGAACTACTTGGTATGTATACAGATCAATATTGGGAAAGGCATTTCTGAGGGCTGTGTAGCAGAAGGACTCCAGATAGTGTCTCAGAGCAAACACGGGGCTGAGAGGACCCGGAAGTCAGGAGACAAGAAGTCAGCTTGGCTCAAACCAAACTTTTTCATTTTGTTTTCCATCCATCTTGAAATGGAACCGCAGACGAAGACAAGAATGATATCTGAGAGGAACACTGGGACCATTCATTCTGTCCTAAGTTTATTGATGTGTGGATGAAGTTGGGGGACTTTACTTATGTATTTCAATACTTGAAGTGTCTGACCTCTATATTACAGTAAATGACACAAAAATAAGAGCTGATTTATGGAGAGGGAGAAATGTGAGATTCATATGTTCCGCAGCATAAGAAGTCTGACACAGCCACTGATATGCAAGACCAGTGCTAATATGACACCATAGACTGGTTTTAGAAACTTAATTCTCTTAATTCTCCTTTGTGTGCATAGCATCCAAAGCAAGGTGGTTTTTGTTTGGTTATGTTCTGTTTTGTTTTCTACTTTGGGTAACAGAAAAATCCATAATGACTTTATCTCCATTTGTCATTGCTACGAAGGAGTCCAATTATACTTCCATATTCCCACTGGGGAGGGAAAAAAAAACTAAATTATTACTGTTTTTCTTCGACACAGCTGTGAGATGATTGTTGTGGTCCGACTCCTTTTCCAACCTTAGAATTTGTATTTATATGGGGAGGAAGTGGTCATTAGAACCAGTCACAACAATATAATAATAAAATGGCACCAAATCGCACTTGTACATATTTCTGTACTCTCCAACTTTATAAACTACCTAATTTTGAAACGTATATTATCTGTTAAAATTACTTTTTATTTACAATGTTAGTATTCATGTGATTTATTGAAATATTACAAAACTGATGTCATATTGTCTGAGTTATATAATACTTCTCTTATTCTTAAAATATATAAGGCATTAAAATATAACATGATAGTTGACATTTTAAGAACAGGATAATTCTAAATGAAGTTTCTGTTCTTGAGAAAAATGTGCTAAGAGTCTTCAGAGAGCTGCTTGTTTATCTCAAAAATGTTAGAGAATCTTTGCTGAAACTATAGAATAAAACAGAATAGAGAAAGGACTGAAGGCATACTTTGGATGCATAGATATAAATAAGGTGGCGGTTTGCTATACATGAGAGAATCATGCACTGTGACCAGTGAAAGGGTTAAATAGTTTTGTCATTAAGAGTTGTTGAGTAGGAATTAAGATTTTTAATGAAAAGAAACTAAATTATATTTAAAATTGTTCTTTCACAAGAAAAGTAAAGAACAAGGCTATGGAAAGCTAAGCAGTGATGAAGACCTCGAAATAATTGTTGATCAGAAGCAGGTAAGTGAACACTCCATATGTTTCCTGTGCCGGTAGACTTTGACATGGTAACCCTTTGGGGTCAGAGTCCTTCCTGACAGCTTTTTTAGCCCGTCTAACTAAAGCTGTTATTAATAGAGATTTGGGTAGCAACAAAGCATCCCTCATCTCTGCCCCACTGACTTCTGTGTGATGCCAGCATGTGGTTTCTGTGTGTGAAAATGAATAATAAAGCATGAAGCAAGGCTGAAAGGAGAAAGAACTCTGCGGACTCAATACAGTGAGTCAAAATAGCATAATTTGATTGAGAAGAAAAGATTTACGTAAGAGCTAGGAAGCATATTTTCTTGAAAATGAGAAACACTACCATTTGTGTGTCTTGTAAAACAAAGTATGATTGGGGGGAGAGTAATATGCGGTGTGAAAATTTGAGATATTTACACTTAGATCTTGCCCAGCTTAGTTTCTGTTTGTCTGCAGTAAGTGTCCAGGTGATTTGAAATGAATAGATTGCTGTATAGTCAGATATGCTGCCCATAATTGGAGAAGCCCCTAGGTTGGATGTTATAGTGGCCCATAAGGTGCAATGAAAATGGCTTAACAGAGCATAAACAATGACACAGCGGGGAGTGGACAGTATCCAGCCAGAACTCTGGCTTGGCATTAGCCCTTAACATCTTTGTTAATTATCAAGAAGACAAGATGACTGCCGGTCTACTTAACATACATGTGGCATTGTCTTTGAGGGCAGTGTCAACAGAGTGGTAATTAAGAAGTCTGAGCTAATGAGGACATTAGAAAGTAGCCACTGACTTATAGAACGGCTGCTGAATTTAGACAACTTTCTCATTATGTAGTTGGTTCTGCTACGTGGTGATTACACTAAGGGAGCCTCTGTTTGTGTGTGTGTGTGTGTGTGTGTGTGTGTGTGTGTGTGTGTGTGTGTGTTGACAAAATGGGGAATGGCTACCAGGAGGTAGCAATGAGAAGTCACTAAGTTAAGTCATGCTTGTTAGGGTGATTGGGTAACTGAAGGGATCGTCTGGAAGGCTGGAAGGTCCTGACTGGGCAAAGCATTTCTATGAAAGTTCATGTTGTACAGGTCACCACCCCTGTGCTCACCCCACTGTCACTCTGTTGCCCCTTAGTACAGCAGCATAGGGGTTTGAGGGTCTGTCCTGCACTCACTCACTCACTCACTGCCAGATTGTCAATTTAAGAACTATGACATGTGGAGCAGCAGTTTGCACCTCTGTTGTTTTAATTATGTCATGTTAATTACTTGGGACCTGCACTCTAGACCTCCCATAGACTGTGATGACCAATAAGGACTGGACTTACCTGACAGACTAGTAAAGGATGAGTGAGTGCACCATCTCACACACACACTAACACACACACACACACACACACACACACACACACGAAGTTAGTTTTTATTTCTTGTTTAATCATATAGAAATAAACCCTTATTTATTTTACTTTGTCATTATCTTCCTCCTCGAAGCTTTTAGTTTTTTCCTTTTAAGCTTTGTGATTTTACCAACTGTTGTCAATCAGAGAACTCCAGAATTATTTGGTTTTGTGTTTGTGATGTTCAAGGAAGTTTGTCTTCATTTTCCCATGCTGACTTTCCAGAAATTTATATTGTTGTGACCAAATACTTACAGTGCAGTCACACAAGTTTAGTAAACCAGCACTGCTGAGTTATTCCTGTTAAAAACTTGTTTCAAAATGTGACAGATTTGAATACATCTGCTGGCCATGAAGAGTCCGCCCTTGTTCAGGAGGTTTGGGGTTTGGGGGTTTTGAGTAAATCCTGGGTTGAAGCAATGGCAATGTTCACACCCACAACTAAAATATCAAGGAAAACACTGTAATTATTCTTTATAAAACTCCAGGAAAATTATCCCTAAGATTAAGAGACAGACAATTAAGTATGTATGTGGGTACATGCATGTGTCAAATGCTCCAGAAACACAGTTGTTCATATTACATCTATAACGAAATCACAAATATAGATTATAAAATTTAAACTTTGTGTCCCTATACATTATTTTGTCTTTATGTTCAATCTGTATTTTGAAAATAACACAGAATAAATTTGTTTGTCAATCTTTGTATAACACCAGGTAGCTTTTCTAGTGAGTGATACCAAAAGAAAACCTAAGGAAGATAAGTAAAATAATTGAAGGTCTGTGATGGGCAGAAATCAATGAACTTGTTAAATCTGTCATTCAGCTGCTGTCACTCTATAAGTGCTGTGCAAGCTATATGCCAGTTCATCAGTCAGGTGATCCACAAGGCTACTGCTTCCAGAGAGAGAGAGAGACAGAGAGAGACCAATCTTGCTTATGTAAGCACATTAATAGCAGAAGCAGTGTGCAGGATGTGTGCTTGCCATCCGGGGCCACTACTTCAAAAGGGCAGAAGCTGATACTGTGTCATTTTGAAGTTGAAAAACAAAGTAGATTTTGGAAATGTGTAAGATTTTTGCTTTTATAGGGCAATATTATACTTCTGACTTTGTGAAATTTTCTTAGCAAATTTGATTCAGAAAGTCAGAATGCATATTTTAAAAGTCACAAAGGATTCTTAAACTAGTACCCTCAACTAATAGGCAATGTTTTATATATATATGTATACACATTCACACACTTGATTAAACATGAATGTAATGGGAATCAGACTTCATATTTACACTTGATATCCCCAAAACTTTTATGTTTCAAACAAAAAATATTGAAAATGTACGTATTGCAATCAAATCTTAATGATCTTAAACTCCAAACATTTGCCATAAATATAACTATACTTAGTGAATGCTGTATGAAATAAATTCCAAAAATGAATACATTCTAAAAGAGAAATCATATATATGCATTTATCAATCAGTTTTATCAACAAAGTATTCTTTCTTCATTGGAGAAGACAAAAGTCCTGATTGTAAATTAGTCTCAAGTAAGCACAAATTATTTCCTGAAATTACTGTCATTTCAGGAGTGAGACTGGATAACATATATGAGAAAGTACCATCTAAGAACTTACAACCTTAACCACTTTAAATAAATAATGAATTTTCTCTATTTAAATTGCTGTTTCAATTGGATTCAGCTTAGCTCAAGGTTTCCTCGTGTTGGGCTACAGAGCTGGTGTCTAAGATATTTTCAGATTCCAAATAGACTTGAAGGAAATAACAAAGACAAACATAATAAGCACAGAATTTTGTAGTTTTATGAAAGATTCAAAGCTACAGATTTTAGCATTGCAAAAATGCATGTACACAATGCTTGAGTCTGGTTGATTCTGGAACTCAAAGGAAAGTAGCCCTGGTTTCATGGTACACCAAGTAAGGAAATTCTAACTACCAGCCAGTTGCTAGGGAGCACACATTTCAGGTCAGGGTAATAGTCCTCAGCAGTCCAGGCACCTAGGGAGTTTCCTGGGCTTACCCCATTCATTGCTAACTTTGTAATGTGAGATCAGGCCTGAGAATTACATTTCTAATTTGTCCACTACTGGTGCAGCTTTCAGAACACGCTCTTAAGACCCAGGATCTGAGAAAATAGCTATTGCAATTCTGAAAGAGGAAAAAGATATGGGGCAGGTAGTAAATCTGACATTCTTCAGGTGGTCCATTAGCTGGAAAAGACAGAATCTATAGATGCTTAATGCAGTGGTACCTATCACTGTAGACACTCACAACAATAGTGCCTCCAAGACCCAAGCCTGCAGTTGGTTGAGTTCCCTGTAGTAACCCTTTTGGTCTTGAGCCCAAGAATTTACATTTCTGGTTTGTAAAGTAGTGCCCTTTTTTCCCCATCTAAGGGTTTATTGGAGGAAAACTCTGTTAAAGGTTTCATAAGGCACAGACTATGTGTGTTGTGTGGATGAGCTAATCGACCCTGTACTCACCCCCCTCTTACCTTACACCCACAATTATCAAGCCAGAACCTTGAGACCTGGGTGATATGGACATTTCCCAAGTCCCTAGTTTGGTACCTAGAGTACTGAAAGCCATAGGCCCCTGATGTGGTCCAAGCTCTGTGCCCTCTGCATCATTACTGGTTGCCCTATGAATTTGTTAAGAAATTATTTTGCCACTGTGGTCTAGTTATATAAAATCACAACTTGGAAGCTGTCGCAGTTGACCACAGTCTATAATTCAGCACTTACTAGGATACATTTCCAACAAACACTTGGTACCTGTCTACTTCCTCTTAGTCTCTAGGCATTCCGGAAAAGAAAGGTTCTTCCAAACAAACAAGCAAACAAACAGATAAAAGACCTAGGCAGAATGAGAACTTCAATATGGCTGTTGACACCACTTTCTTTTTCTCCTGAACCTCCAAGTATATGACAATCAAGACAACACACATTGTACCTAGCCTGAAACTTTTCTGAATCTCTTTAAAGCTTGTGAGAGAATCCTGAGCAGAAAGCAGGGCACATCAGAACTATTTTCCTAAAGACAAAGAAGAAACTAAGTAGAATTGTCCTTTGTGTCTCTAACAGCTACAAGCCTTTCAGTAAGATCAAGGCTGGCATCAAATAAAAATGAAAGAGCAAGAGCCAGCTTCCTTCTGGCACTAAAGAGGTAGCCTGTTCTACCACCAGCTGACTCAAGCCCTGGACTCATAAATAGGAAAACGATGATGAAATGCGTGTCACTATCTTTTGTCCTCAGTGCCATCTGGCCATTACTTTCTTGGCCATATCAGTATGGTAGCTTAATTTATATATAATTCATACTCCACTTGATTCTGAGCATTCCAAAGTACTAGAACCTGTCTTTTAGTATCACATTGAACAGTTTTTCTGGTGTCTTCTCAGAACTAAGTACATAGCCATCAAGAACAGAGGAGCCCCCCCCTTTACCCCTTTACCTGCTCAGCCTGGAGAGCCTGAAACAGGGGACGACTCTGACATAGAGAACTCAACAACCCATGCAGCTGTGATACCCTGATTAAGCTTGCAATATGCATAAGCTCATTATCAATTTCCCCACAAAAGATTGATCA